ACCTATATCCAATCCTGGGGAAACATGAGACAGATCAAATTGAAGGATAGTCTACAAAACAATTGCCCTGTATTCTTCAAAAATGCCAAGGTCAAGAAAGACAAAGAGAAGTCAAGGAACTGTTCCAGACTAAAGGACACTAAAGAAAAATGACACTGAAATGTACTGCATGATCATGAATTGAGTCCTGGGTCAGGGATAGAGGTTGGGGGTAACAGTAAGATACCTATAAAGGACATTACTAAGGCATTATTTGGGTAACTGTTTATATGAGAAAAGGGAATGTGGATTAAAGCAGCAGTTCTCAGGGCAGTCTGGGGTCTTCAGGGATTCTACAAAGTCAAAGTTATTTTCATAACAATACTAAGATAAAAAAATGTGTCTTTTCACTCTTACTCTCTTATAAGTGTATGTGATATTTTCCAGAGGCTACATGACTTTTGATATAACAGACTGAATGCAGAAGCAGATATGAATCTGGCTGCCTTGAATCTGGCTGCCTTCTATTAAGTCACAATTAAAGAGATTTAGAAAACTATTAAACAGTGCTACTTGATATATGATGGTTGTCTCAAGGAAAAGCATTTTATGCAATTGTTTCAGCTGCAAGCTGATGTAGCTGCTTTTTCCAGGAAACATGATATTTACTCAAAAGAAAATTAACAATCCAAGTATGGTTATTCAGACATTTTCTGAAAAATAAATGAAGTAAGTATGTTATTCTTGAAGAAAAACAACTGATAAAATTTGTTGCCAATAATAAAATGCACATTTTTAAGCAAATTTAGAATTTTAGAAAACTTCTACCTGACATTGCGATCTTGACACCTTCCCAACACTTAAAAGATTTTTCTAATGAGAGTGATCATATGTGGTTTGGGGGATACTGTATAATAATATGTCAACATTTGAAGACCTGCATAACTCAGGGAAACAATATTTTTCAGGTGACCAACACACTGAGCAAAAAGCAAGCATGGGTAAAAGATCCATTCAAAGAGCAACACAGATCAGTGGATTTTAATGTAACAGAATTACAAAACATTAACTGATATGGTTTCAGAGACTACAGTGCAATTATTTTTAAGAAGCAAACAACAACTTGTCAATATGGGGTATAAGATCAAAAAAGTACATGTGCTATTATATAAAAAGGCTACTATTAAAATAATAGTTTCCTTTCCAAGAATGTATCAATGTGAGGTCCAATCTTCTTCATATATCTCACATAAAACAACATGTTGCAAAAGATTAAATGCAAAAGCACATATGAGAATCTAGTTGTCTTCCACTAAGCTAGATATTAAAGAGATTTATAAAAATGCAAAATTAAAAATACAATTTGTCTTGAACTGATAAAAACTTACATGCATATCTACATGAACATTTAAAATAATTATTCTAAAAACTGAGCCATTCTATTATCTTTCAATCTACTACATGAGCTATTAGATACATTATTTAGTCTAAGTAAATTAAAGTGAATAAAATTAATTCTGGTTTTTCTGTGTGATTCGATATTTTTATAGATTATACTCCATTTAAAGTGAGTATCAAATAACGGTTGTATTTCCCTGTGCTGTACAATATACCCTTGTTGCTTAATTATTTTATACATAGTAATTTTGCTTTTTAATTGCATATCATACTTTTAAAACATATGCACTGGGGTATCATCAAACAATAAAACTTGTACTTACTGGTGTAAAAAACAAAATGAAACTGTTCAATTTTGGAAGGAATGAGCATTTTGCTGGAGCCATATATCCTCATTCACTTCACTGCTGGATCAACAAAAGATTTTTAGGTGTTTAAATGAAGAAAGTAGTAATAAATTATAATAAATCTGAATTCCAGTACTGGATCACCACTTTACTTATCTCTATGGACTTCAAAATAACAGAAAAAAAGTATTCTCATCAAAATAATTTCTGTATGTTCCCAGTACTAGTTTTAAATAATTATTAATTGCATTCTAAATATAACTTAGAATATTACATTAACATTACTTTTGAGGACCCCTGTAATCCATTGCTCTTTCCTGCCAAAACAGCCACTCTCCTGAATTTTGATTTGTCATTCCTTTGCTTTTCTCCAGCATTAATTTTTTATTTAACTTATCTGAACTATTTACTCACTAAAGAGTAAGCATATGATCCACACCTTAAGGCATTCAGAGTCTCCATAGGGAAACAGAAATGTAAACCAACCATTATAGTAACCCATTCAAGGAATGTAAGGGGTTAAGTGTTCACACCTAAGGAAGCTTCTAATTCTGGTTAGGGAAGTCAAGAAAGGCTTCACAGAGGAACTGAAGTCTGAACTGTGTTTTAAAGAGTAAGTAGGCATACACTACATAAAAGCTGGGTGCACGGGAGGAGCAGCTTCTGTTAATTTCAAACTGGGAAAACACTATTACAAAGAACACAGGTGAGAACGTTGAATAATTCTAGCAACTATAAGTATGGCTAGCACATAAAGTCAAAAAATGAGGCTAGAAAAGTAAATGGGGACCAAATTATGATGAGAAATTTGAAGTTTTTACTCTAAGCAAAAGGAACTAAGGTAGATAAACTTCATTATTGTTGTTGCTGTTATTACTCACACTTCCCTGTATCTGTGCCCTTGGATAGTGCTGCCCATCACCCAATAACTGTGGATTTGGTCACATGACTTCTTTTGGGAAAATGGGACAATAATATATCTAATTGAGCGCTCATGTCTACTTCATCCTCCTTGCAGCCCTGCCCCTACACG